TCATATGCCTTTAAACATTTTTACTTAAAATTTTTTTATTTCCCTGAAAAGATGTGATTACAGTACAAGGAAGATATTGTAGTCATACAATATCCTTCATTCAGCTCTCTTGAAGCAAATGTTATGCATGTCTTGTGTAACTATAACCACATGTTACTGAGAAAAAATATGTAACATCTGAAATTGGTCAGAAAATCAGAGAGTCCAGCCTTTTTTTTTTGTATCAGGGATCGAACTCAGTTCCTTGCTCTTGCAAGACAGGCTCTGGAACCACTGAGCTAAATCCATGGCAAGTCTGGCCTTTTTCGAAAATTTTAAAGCTATTGGGTCAGGGATTTAGCTCAGTAGTTCTGCCACCTGCCTCATGAGTGCAAGGTCCCAAGTTTGATCCCCAGTACCAAAAAAAAAAAAAAATTTAAAGCTATTCTTTTGAGTAGTATATAAGTTTCTATTATAGGAACAAAATTATTAGAGACAAAATGAAGTATTAAATAATTTAATGAAGTTTTTTTCTTACAGGGAAAATTGATCTCAGTTTCAAGTAAACAGTTACACACATCCTTTAACTTATGGCTGCTTTTAATACTTTTTCTGCTTTCTTTGCCATTGTTAGCTATCCATTGTTACAACTGTCAGTGCCTGAGTCTAGATGCTATCCTTTTCATTTCTTGCTTCTAATCTGCAATGAGGAAGGAAATTTGATTTTTCTTGGAAATAAGATTAAATGAGCCATAAATGAAAGTCAAAATTTTCTAATGGTGAATTGGGTGGCCTATAGGGATTTATAATCTTTTCCCCTCAGTATTCAGTGGCTGCTTTTTGCTCGCTACTAGTTTTCTTTTTTTTTTTTTTGTATATCCTTTTATTGGTACATTTTAGGTGTACAACATAATGACATTCATCATTGGAGATGTGCACCTTTACATACTCTCTTGGTTCTTATTTTCCCCCTTCCCCTGCCATCCCTTCAACCCCTCCATCCCTCTCTATTTACAAAGACTTTGTTTCCATTTTTTCATTTTCTCATATTAATTCCATTCCCCTCTTTCATTTCCCCTACCCTTCCCACTTCCCCCTCCCCTTTGCCCTTTTCTTCCTATTTCACATTATCTATTATACCTTTTAGTCCTTATTTATACTTTCTGTTTCTCACACTAGAGAAACTATTTGGTATTTACATATGCGTGTCCTGTTTATTTCACTTAAGAGCATTGCCTCAATGTGCATCCATTTAGCAATAAATGTCTCTAATTTGTCATTTTTGATGGCTGCGTAGTACTCCATTTTATAAAAAAAACACATTTTCTTTATCCAGCCTCCAGTTGATGGGCATTTGGACTGTTTCCAAGTTTTAGCTATTACAAACTGTGCTGCTATGCACATGGGTGCACATATATCACTGTGGTATGATTCTTTTAATTCTTTGGGGAAGATACCCAGCAGAGGAATAGCTGGGTCAAATGGGACTTCCAGTACTAGTTCTTTGATGTATCTCCATATTGATTTCCACAGTGATTGCATCAATCTACACTTCCACCAGCAGTGGAGCAGTGTTCCTCTTTCCCCACATCCCCGCCAGCATTTGTTTTTGGTTGATTTCATGATAGCAGCCATTCTTTCTGGAATGAGGTAGAATTTCAGTGTTATTTTCATTTACATCTCTCAAATGACTAGTGATGTTGAACATTTTTTTCATATGTTTATTCGCCATGTCTACTTCTTTGTGTGAGAAATGTCTGTTCATTTCAGATGCCCATTTTTGGATTGGGTCTTTAAATTTGGGAGG